TGGGCGCTACCTCTTCAAGCCCAATTTTGTTGGCCCTGGATGGGTTGCTACGTTCAAAAGGACTTAAGGTAAAGCAGAGCACTTTGCAGATGTTTTTGAGAGAAGCTGCCGGGGCCGCGGCCGCGGTCTGGGCATGAGGATGGCGGTGGGCTCAGTCAAGATGCAGCCGCCGTGCGAGAACCCGGCCCTGGCCGCGGCGGTGGCGGACAGCACTCTGCGCCGCAGTCCCAGCGCCCGCGAGCCGGAGCGCGAGCAGCCGCCGGCGTCGCTGCGGCCGCGGCTGAAGGACCTGCCTGCACTGCTGCGGAGCGGGCTCACGCTGCGGAGAAAGCGGAGCGCTGCCGGGGGCCGGGACCGGACGGAGCCGGTGTGGGTTCCAGAACGCCTGACAAGAAGAGTCCCGACAAATACATCTGAGTTAAATATAACCACTTTGGCCATTACTTCCCAGGTGTTGATTCCGTTGTCTCCTTCTAATGAGACCTCTAACGCCACTCATTTTAAGGCTTCTCCTTATTGCACCCCTGAGTATGGCTTCCCTCCTATATTTACACCTTGTCAAGATCACTCTTGGGAGAAACATCAGGTCGCCAAAGGTTTTTCCCTTTCCCCCTCTCTCAAAAGGTACTTGTATAATTCTTCCAACAATAATTCCTCTATAGGAGCGGGCAGGTCCTGGTTTCAATGGTTGATTTCCAATGAAAAGGGGGCCACAGCCGATGTCTCTGCTCTGGCTCAATTGAGAGGAGTCCAGAGCTGGCTGTTTAATGTGTCTGGCTCTGTACAGGACACTGTTAATGGTAGGAGACTTAAAAACATTTCATACAATTCTCAGGTGTCCAGTGCTACACTGCCCTCTGCAGCAGTCTGTCTTCATTCTCCGTTTCTGTTCCTTTTGACCAATGATACCGATACTACAGAATCGGAAATGATTGACTGTTCTAATTGTACATGTGTCTTGTCTGAGTGTTGGAATGGATCCTGGAGCACAGCAGTTGTTATGAAGGTCCCGACTTTCGTCCCAATCCCGGTTACTGCGGATCCGGACTCCTTCCCTATTATTGAGGTGCTCAGGAGCCGTAGGGATTTTGGAATCACGGCAGCTATTGTGACAGCGGTCGCAGTGTCTGCTGCTGCAGCGGTCACTGCTGGAGTGGCCATGGCTAGTCAAGTGCAGACTGCGGCCACAGTTAATCAGGTCATCCAACAAACTTCCAGCATTTTAGAGTCTCAAAGTAAAATCAATCAACATATTTTATCAGGAATTTTGGCCGTTAATCAAAGGGTGGATCTCCTCCAAGCTCAGATTGAGGAATTGTCAGACCTAGTACATTTGGGTTGTGTTGATCATCGTGCACATCTATGTATAACATCTCTCAGATTTAATGATTCCAGAAATACCTCTCAAATCATCGGACAGTACCTGGCCAGAAACTGGTCCATGGAAGCAGAGAAGTTGATCCAGACCCAACTGACACAAATTGCCATGTTGAACAACACTCGTGTGGACCCTGTGACATTGGGCCAATTTACGAATTGGCTGTCTTCTGCTTTTTCTTTCTTTAAGGAATGGGTGGGAGTAGGCATTTTTGGAGCGGTGTGTTGTTTTGGGGTTGTCCTTTGTCTGTGGCTTTTCTGTCACCTAAGAGCTCGCCATAGCCAAGAAAAGGCTATGATCGTCCAGGCTTTTGCAGCCCTAGAGAATGGTATCTCTCCACAAGTTTGGCTTGCGCAACTTAAGCAATAATTTCCTGGGTTTTGGCCATTGCACCCCAAGTCATCTTTGACATTGCACTGGGTTTGGCATGCCCTCCTCTTCCTGCCTTCCCAGTTATGGAAGGCCCATGCACTCTGCAGGCCTTGTTGCCATTGCACACAGGTGGGCTTCCATGCTGGTGCTGCACTTTATGCTTTGGACCCTTCGTTTTCTCAGGGGCTGAGAGACGGTGTTGCCACTTCCAATCTCATAGTCACTGACCGGCTACTTGTAAAATCCCCTTTCTTTTTCACCGTCATCACGATGCAGGATGCGAGGCAAGGCACTGCACTTGAGTGATCCGATCGCAGACCTCAAGGGAAGCATGTCCTATTGCATACGGGTTTGGCGTCCACGCCCCAACCCACGAAAAAAGGCGTCGGCTGATATGGTGTCAGATCTAGGGAAGGCGCCTCCTTGGGACTGAGCCATACATTGCAGCCATGTTTGCACAGTGGGATAGGACCTCTACTTTCGCCTGCATTGTTTTTTAAGAGATAAGGGGGAACTGTGGTAAGCCATTCTTATAGACCGTGGCCGCCATTAGAAGATGGCGCCGGCTTCCACTGTGGCCTGTGATAAACAACTCCTTTTTTGGAGAGTTGGCGCACAATCCCTTACCACCCTATGAGAGAGATCCACGTGGCAGCTTGGGATTGGTATACGGGAGGCTTTATTAGGCTAAGCTTGGGTGCTCGGCGGGGGGGTCACTAGAAGATGATACATGAAACAAGGCCTGAATAAACTGCTGAAAGAAGAATCCTGTGTCGTGTTTTCCCTTGCCGGCGAGGGGTCGCGACAATCCGCTCCCCAGTAACCACTGCTACTGGGTCTCTATGACTCCGACTCCTCTTGGTACTTCATATAGTGGAACCACACGGTATCGTGTAGTTGTGACTGGCTCATTTTACTTAGTATAATGTCCTTAAGACTCATCCAATTTTAGTATAATCAGAATTTCCTTCCTTTTTCAGACTAAATAATATTCCATTGTATGGACAAACCACCTTCTGTTTACCCACTCAGCTGTCCATGGGCGCGGGGTTCTCTGCCTTTGACTCTAGAAGGATGCTATGAACCTGGATATAAACACCTATGGGCCTTGCTTCAATTCCTTTGGGTGCACTCCCAGAATCTGTCCCCGCTCCCTTCCACGGAACCCAGGGTGCTTACCCACCGAGCGACACACACCCACAGCCCACTTCACATTCTGTTTTGAGACAGGGTGTTGCAGAGTTGCTGAGGCTGGCCTTGAACTTGTGATCTTCCAGCCTGAGCCTCCCGAGTGCTGGGATCACAGGCGTGCATCTCTGGGCCAGGTGTTCTTTAATCAGAAGTCAGACATGACTCTCATGGTTGAATGGGAAGTCACAGATGGGCCTCCGCATCCTGAACTTGCTCTTTGGGGTTTCTGGTGGACATTTCCCACAGGCTCTCCCTGTCCCCACGCACTGGAGCAGATGTCCACTCTCAGAAGGGGGCTTGTAGGCAAGGCCCACCTGGCTCCCTAAGCGACCTCCCCAGCGGCCCCTGCCACACTGGGGACAAGGCTCGTGTGACCTGGGTGGGTCACTGGTCCCCATGACCCTCTTCCAGCTCTCAGGGTGGGCCTAGAAGACCACCACCCCAAGTGCACTGGACTGAGTCCCCAATCCTGTCTCGAAGCCCTGCCCTGGGCCGAGATGGGCCTTCAGAAGGAAGGAAGCCGAAATGGGGTTGAAGGCGGAGGGGGCGGCCCACAGGAGCGCAGCCCCCCCTGCTGTGGGAAGGGGCGTCCCCGGGGGCCACACGTGCTGTCGAGGAGGCTCTCAGCAGGACTTTTCATTTTAGACAACTTTTGGTGCATCTGTCCCCAAGGCTACAGGGTGGCTGGTGGCATCCCAGGGCTGCTCATGGGGACCCCCAGCACGTGGCTGAAATGAGGTGGGGCAGATGGGGCAGGGGCTCCCGAGGCCCCAGCAGCACCCACACCACAGAGGACACAGGAGGAGTTCCTGGGACCCCGTCCTGAGAGGCAGAGCAAATGGCCTGCTGGCCGCGCCCAGGTGACGCTCATAGCTCCCGGCACCAGCCCACCCGCCGTCCCACTCCTTGGCAAGCCCGGGACGTCAGGGACCTCCAAGGGCTGGGACACGGTGGGAGAGGTGCCTCCTGGGGCTGGAGGCGGACTGTGGTGGGTGGCCGGGACCCCCACGCCCCACCTAGCTCCAGTCTCTTCCAAGGCCAGAGGGGACCACAGCGAGGGGTGCAGGTGCTGCTGCTGGACTCGGGGGCTCTCCGTCCTGTGATCCCCTTCTGTCTCTGAAACTCAGTGTGGCACACTGGAGAGAGGACGTGGGGACATGGGCACCTGGTGTAGGGATCAGAGACCGGCGACCCCAGGCTGGGTGGGGGACAGGGTGATGGGGCTTAGCTGGGGACCTCGGCTGGGCTGAGGGCTCCTCAGGGTTAGGCTTGTGGCCCCACTGCACCTGCCCCTATCACTGACGACAACGTGGAGGCCACCTGGGCCAGCAGTCTGGAGAGCCCCAGCAGCCCCACCCTGGGCCAGGGGACCAGGGTTTCTACGAGATGTTCCAGCAGACCCTGTGACCCGGGCACCCCCTGTCCCACCACTTGGCTACCCTGCCCTGGGCTGTCCCTCACCCACTCAGAGGCCATTCCCTCCCCACCCACAGCAGAAAGTCACTCCCGGGACCTCTGAAGGGTGCCAGGGTGGACGAGGTGCAGAACGGCCCCCACCAACCTCTGGCCCTCGATAGTCACTCGGAGTGACTGCCCAGTCAGGCCCTGCACCACCCCCAGCTCTCCCTCGGGGCAGGAAGTGGCCCCTTCCCAGCTGCTGCCAGCAGGGAGACCTGGCCACCTGAGGCCTTGAGGAAAACCTGCTGGGATGGTGGGGCAGGGACAGCTAGTCCCTCCCAGGCCAGGCGGCCTTCAGCAGGCCACCCCATGCTCAGCCAGGGGGACGGAGAGGAGCTGCCTGGACCTCCTCCCAGGCTTCAGCAGCTCCACGCCAGCTCACGCCCAGGGCCAGGTCGGGCTGGACTCCCTTACACAGGGCATGACCTACACCCAGGCCCTGCTCCCGGATGTCCCGGGCTGTCCAGCAGGATGGGACAGAGACTGGAACTGGATGGATGGGGCCACAGGTCAGGAGTGCCCTGCAGGGGGGGAGGGCTGGGGACCAGGAGCCTGGGGGGGCAGAGGGGGCAGAGAGGAGCCCGGGGTGGGCAGAGAGGAGCCGAGTGGCAGACAAGTTTATTCCTCCCCTCCCTGTCCGGCAGCCACCCAGGGGGCCTGGCGGTGGCCCCAGCGTGTGGGCAGGGTGGGTCTGCTGCACCCTGGCACTCAGGACTTCTGCCGCACCAGATTCACATTCTCAGTGGGCGGGGCAGGTGGGAGGGGCAGCCACCGTGTCCTCCCTGGGCAAGGCCGGCTGGGCACCTGGGTGGTGCCCACTGGGACGCCCCAGTGGACCTGGCAGAGCGGCAGGAAGGCTTTTCCGCAGACTGGGGGATAAAGTGACTGAGGCAGTGACAAGGTCGAAAGGGGCTAGTGAGGCTGGGGCGGAAAGTCTCTCACGTCCCGCGGACGCGCAGCGCTGGCCTCACACCACGCTCTGCCGGCCCCCCGCCCCCTCGAAGCCGGACACCCCCGAGCCGCCGCCCCGGCCAAAGTCAATGAAAATCCCTTCGGAGTCGGAGTCCGCGGACTCCAGTGTCTGGTCCACCAGGGTCTCGGGGCTGGAGGAGGGTGGGGAGCTGCGGGCAGGGCCCTGTGCCGGCGGCTGGGCAGGGGGGTACAGTCTGCTGGCGCAGGGCCCCAAGTGGGGCGTCGGGGAGGCCCTGAAGGTGCCCGCGGGGCCCTGGCCAGGGGAGCCGGCGAAGCCCTGGGGCTCGGGGCAGGACGTCATCTCCGACACCGAGTGCCTGCGGATGCCCGGGCCGGTGGCTGCCGCGCCCTCTGCCTCGTGCTCGGCCACAGGGTTCAGCAGCGGCGTGTTGTAGCTCTTGGAGCGCACCACGGGGTTCTTGGCCAGGACGTCCCCGGAGCGGGAGCGCAGCAGGCGCTTCTCTGGAGGGAGACACAGGGTTTCAGGCCTAGTGGCCCCTGGCCTTTGCCCCCAGCACCTGGACCCCACATGCTCCAGGCCCTTCTGCTGGGCAGACACTGCCTGCCCAGCACTGACCCTGCAGGAAGGGCCACGTGGGCTCTGGCCACGCTCCCGCAGTCCCCCGTGCCAGGAGGGGTGTGGGACTTCACCGGCAGTGGGACACCAGTGTTCCCAGCCTCAGCCTGGGCAGTCAGCAGGACCTCAAGCAAGCCGCCCAGCTTCAGGCCTTCACCTGGACTGTGACGGTGTCAAGAACCTGCCGGACAGTGACCTTGGGCCTTGGCCTCGCCACCGTCCAAGTCTAGAATCTTAGGTGCCAGTGCATTCCTGGGCCACCTGGCTCCCGCCCACCCGAGGCTGGCATGCCGGGGCAGGGGAGGACAAGCGCACGCAGTCACAGGGTGGCTGGAGCTGTGACGAGGGCCCTGCCAGGGGGTCGGGCTGTTTGGAGCCGGGGAAAGCCCGTCACAGATGGCCGCTGCGGACCACTGTGTGCTGGGCGGCAGACTGGACGGGGCGAGGGCAAAAGGGGGACAACTTGGCCTTCTGTGCAGAAGGCGGGCAGGGGAGGGCAGGTCTCATCCTGCCGTCCCCTCGTGACCACCAGGTGCAGGGCTGAGTGGTCCGGGGCCTTGCCTGGACACGGAGGCTGAAGGACCCTCCTCAGCGGGGCTGGGGTCCCCCTGTCCAGGCCCCACCCCAGCAGTGCCTAGTTCTGTCTCTGCCTGAGTGAGATGCAGCGGCCATGGGCATGGGGCTGCCATTCCAGATGTGAGGGGAGTCCCAAGTGGCCCTTGTACCACTACGGTCCCCTCGGCCCAGGACGCTCGCCACCCGTCAGCCCAGAGTCTCTGTGGGGACTCACTGGTCTCCCTTTCCCGCTGGACCAGAGCCCATGAGGGTGGGGCCGGGCCATGGACTGAACGGACCAGGGCAGCACGGTGGCCGGCTCCTGCTGCCCGCCAGGTGGCCCCAGCTCCCCTCCCCGCCACCAAATACCTGCCCAGGGCTCGCCCAGCTCTGGGCTGACGCCTGGCGGCCTCCCATCCCGACAGCATGGGGGGGCCCTGGGGCTCTGCGGGGATCCCTGCCCCTGCCTGGTGCCACTCCCACCCCCGGGTCTCTGTGTGTCCCCGTCCCGCACGGCAGGGCTGTGGCCCTGGACTTCCTGTCTGTCCACAGGAGAACGGGGGCAGTGGTCACCCCAGCCCAGGGCCCAGGTGACCCCTACCCAGGATGCAGGAGTGGGAGGAGGGGCCCTCGCTGGAGAAGAGGCCACAGGTGCCCAGGTACGGCGACACCACCTTCTGGATCAGCACCTCCAGACGCAGGTAGTCCTCCGTGACGCCCCTGGGCTCGTGCACCCCCTGCAAGAGTGTGAAGGTCACACGGGGACAGGCAGTGAGCACGTGACGCCCATGTGGGGACGATGACCCAGCCTCTGCCTGGAGGGTGGCGGGGGACGTCCTGCGGGTTCACACCGTTCTGCTTCCCGTCCTGTGGGCCCTGCTGCCCCGCCCGGCACAGGCAGCGAGTGGACACACTCAGACCCCATCCCCGGGGCCCCAGGGAAGCTGTGATCCTGGGGGCTCAGGGACACACAGCAGAGGCCCTCCACACGTGCTGGTCAGCAGCTATGACCTCAGACCCACCCAAGGCTTGAAACAGCAGGGGCCAGGTTCAGTTGGGGACCAAGACAAGGCCGGTGACAAGTTCAGCAAGAGACTAGGACAAGGTCCTCAAGGTGAGGGGAGAGGCGGCAAGTGGGGCGAGGCAGAGGCCCGTGGGAGGGGTGGCCCTGGGGGAGGTGGGGACCATCTGAGGGCTGCAGGAGGCATGGCGGCCACCTGGGGGCAGCGCCGCACAGGCCATGGCCACTTCCCTCCCTGGAGTTCTCTGGGGAGAGACCCTGGGGCATCTACAGCCCAGCCCCGAGCTGCCTGCTGCTCACAGCACCACAGAAGGTGGCCTTCCAACTCTCCCTGCGGCCCTCACACCTGCCCTGCAGGGCCTGACCCCTTTCTCCATCACAGAGATGAGGAACAGGCCCAGAGAAGTCCTGGAAGCTCCCAGCCTAGCCAGACCTGACAGCTAGAAGTGCCACCCACGGTGGGCATCCAGCTTGGCAGCCAGGACAACCTCAGGCCTCCGGCCCAGCACCACTCTTGACCCTACCAACCTCACCTTCCAGCCCCTGCCTCGCTCTAGAATCTGGACAGCTCCCTTCTGCCCCCAGGCCGACCGACAGACCCTAACTTTAAAGGGACTCCATGCGCCCTGGGGGTTGAGAACAAGGAACAGGCAAGGCTCTTTCCCTGCCTGTAAGATGGGCTGGCAGTGCCTGCTGCCTCCCGTGGTGATGGCAGGCCGTGGGGAGCGCCAGCGTGCAAGAGGCACCCAGCTGCCTGGCGCCGCCCTCTGGACAGGTGTCCCGCCCTGCTGCGGGCCAGGCCGTGCTGGCTGGTGAGCTCCAACGGAAGGACGCTGAGGTCCCTGCCCGTGTGTGGGCCCCCAGCACAGGAGGTAAGGACAGCGTCCGCCCAGGAGGTCAGCCCTGGCCCACTCCCTCCCGGGCACCTGCAGCCTCTTCTGGCCTCGTCTGTCCCTCCCTTACAGATTCCCTCTCCCCAGTCACGGGTCCAGAACCCTGGCCTTCAGCTCCACCTCTGGTGCTCCCATGGCCTGTGCCCACCAGGCCCCACCCAGTGGCCCGGCTGCGGCCCCGCCACCCACCTGCAGTACCAGCAGCATCTGCACAATGGCGGGCGGCACGCGGGCATGGGCACGGGCCAGTGCGTCCTCCAGCTTCACGCTGAGAGTGATGGTGTTCCGGAACAGCAGCAGGGCCAGCTGGCGCACCGACGGCTCCTTGCCCTGCGGACAGGGCGCTGCACCCATCTGCCCGCCAAGAGGGCTCCACCCCGCCCACCCCGGGTTATGGGAACAGGCCACTGACCCTCAGGGCCCCTGTACCTCCTGTCTTCCCAGATGACCCCTCCCACAGAGCCCAGGGCCCTCCCGGCTCCCCTGGCAGGGACAGTCCTGCACTCGGGGCCAGGTGCCTGCTGCTCAGCTCTGCAGGGCTCGGAGGGGCCTCTTGATCTGCCTCTCACGGGCCGGTCCCGAGAAGCGCAGGAAGGCCAGGGCAGGAGCGCGTCACCACCCTGTCCCACGTGGCCGGGCACCTGCACTGGGTAGAAGATGGCCTGCAGTGTGGGCAGCACGTCACTGAAGAAGAAGTCCCAGGTCTCTGCCAGGGAGTCCAGCAGCTTCTGTCCTGTGGGCACAAGGAGCTGTCACTGCCTGCCCTGGACAGATGACGCCAGTGGATCCTTCTGCCCATCCAGCACGAGGAGCCGAGGGCCCAAGCCAAGCCCTAGAGGTACCTGCCCAGGTGACATTGCCTGCCCTCTGTGCTCAGCCTGCCGCCTACAAAACAGAGGCATGACAGGCCAGAGCCAGTGGGACCCCATGAGACTAAGCCCAGGCGCTCAGCACACAGTCCAGTGCCAGGCGGCCAGTCCTGTGTCCGCCACACAGGTGTGCCCACAGGAGCTGCAGCTCAGTCTCCCCACCCCCACAAGACCCTGCCGGGTGGGTGAGGAGTCGTCCTCCTGCCTGCTGAACGCGTGCCCACAGCCAGGCCCGATGCTGGACATCAGGATCCATTAATGGCAGGGAGCTGGGCCTGGAAGACGCTGGACAATGGTGGGCGTGACCTCCATGGTCAGTGACCTGGGCTGCAGTGTCAGGTCTCCCCCCAGGGCCTGGCCACGCTGCCTGTCTGCTTGTGAAGCCAGAAAGCCCACTTCACCAGGGGAGCGTGCCCAGGTCAGCAGGAGGTGACATCCACGCCAGGTTTAGGAAGTAGCTGCCAAAGAGGGGGGCGTTCTTGGTACATGAACACCCAAAGCAGGTGTGTGTGAGCAGGCATTCCCGCAAGCTCTGTGGGCATTTTGCTGGCCTGGGGCAGAGTGGCACTGTCCGGCGGGTGGGTGGCTCTCCAGGAACAGGGCAGCCGAGGTGCCCCAAGCTGGCTCTGGGCGCCTACAGAAGACACAGCTTGCAGGGCGCTGGCCTCTGGGCCTGGACTCAGCAGACAGCTGGGCCCGGGTCTGCGGGGTGCAGGAAGGAGCAGGCCCCAGCATGTGTCCCCTGCCCCTGCCGCCTGGAGGGACTCTGTGTTTGGGTCTAAGTGAAGGGGGGCGAGTCCCTGAACGTGGCCAGCCTGCCTCCCAGGCCACACTGCCAGGCTGCCCGGCTCTGGGTTTCCATGGGAACGCGGTGGCCAGCCAAGGGCCTTCGTCCGGCTCGCCTTACTTTCCTGGGGCCTTGTACCCTCACCCCAAACCCCCCAGGACCGGGTAGGTGCAGGGCACCAGGGGCAGCCCCGTGAGCAGGCCCTGCCTCCCGTGTGGCTGGCCGCTGCTCTCTGGGAGGCCAGCTCTCACCTCCTGGGTGGCCCGTACCTGGCTGCCAGGGCCAGGAGGCCAGCAGGGAGGCGGGGATGGGCGGATGCCTGCTCCACAGCAGAACTCTGCCCACACACAAAGTCCCTCAGTTCCCTGTGTCGCGCAGGAAGAAAGGCTGCTCAGTCCCCGGGGCTGGCCGTGGGGCAGCCCTGGGCACCGGCCAGGCCGGTGTTCCGCTGAGCTCAGGCCATTCTCCAGCCCACGGGGCGGAAACGCTGCGGAAAGCAGACGTTGTAGAACACAGAACCCAGGCCCCGGCCAGGCCGCAGGCCGACAGCCCAGGAGGGGAGCCTTGTCCTGGGCCAGGATCCCACTGGGGGCTGCCGCTGAGTGGGGCACCTGGGGGCTGTGGGGCGGTCAGGGGCTGCTCTGCACCTTGCTGTGTGGCCCAGGGAAGTTCCTCAGCAGCCCTCAGTGGTGCCCTCTGTGCAGCGGCCTGAAGAACACCCCATGGGGTCACCGGGGACAGGCAGCTCGGCGTCTGCTCTGGCATGACACCTCAGGGCCGGGCTGACCGCTGACCCCGGGCCCCAGGACCCAAGGTCAGCAGTGCAGGGAGGGCTGTTGGGCCCAGGGGCAGCCAGGCTCCATGGGGGCTGTCACCCGGGTAGGTCCTTCCTCAGCTCAAGGGTGCTGAGAGCCATCGTGCAGCCCAGGGACAGGAGTGAACCTGGCCGGTCCAGCTCAGGGCCCCCAGCCACACCCTGGAGACCACAGGGATGATGAAGGCCAGAGGGCAGTGACCAAGGCCACACGGGAGAGCAGCAGGACGCAGGGACGCCTGGCGGGGTGTGGCCAGAGCCCAGGAGCACGGCCAAGAATGCGGGGCTGCTGGTGGCGCCCGGTGGGCACAAGGCCTCCCAGGGCTCCTGCTGGAGAGCCTGGGCCTCGGCCACCTCCCGTCCCGGGAAGCAGCCCTCGGCCTCCACCTCTCCTCTCTTTCCTTGTCCAGGAAGGCCCTGCTTGGCTGGCGTCCAGGGCCTGCTGGAGGCTAGAGAAGGGCTGCCCCGTCCCTGCTGGCCTCCTCCTGCACAGCCTGGCTGGGGCCTGGCTGGGGCCTGGCCGGCGGCCACTCCTCTGGGGAAACCCGGGCGGGAGCAGGACAGGGCGGCAGGGCAGATGTCCTCCTAAACTCGCCACACATGAGGCCCTTAGAGGCCGACTGCTCCGTGCAGCCCTGCCAAAGGACAGCGACCTTCCTTCCCCAGGCCACCTCCCCCTTACGTCAACCACACTGGACCCTCACCAACTTTCCACGTCTCTGTCCCCAGCTGTGAGTTTCTGCAGGGCAGGCCCTGCATCCCTCCACCTCCAGGTCCCCAGAGACCTCCAGGGCTGACATGCAGGGAGCACCCAGGAGGAGCCCTGGGGAGCTGGTCCACCCTACAGCGCTAGAGGGGGCACCCAGACTGGGCAGGACGTGGTGTGCCTGTGGGACCTGGGAGCTGACAGCCAGGTGGTGACTCCCAGCCCAGAACTCGCTGCTGTCCCCGGTGCCCAGGGAGGTTGGACACGGCCTCCTAGGCTGCCCTGTCAATTCCGTCAGCCACCAAGTGCCCGCTGGGAGGCCTGGAGGACACAGGAGGTGGTGACCGAGCTCCGCCAGGCCACACGGAGCCTCCCTTCTCTGAGGCGCCCTGGCTGTCCCGGCTGGGCTTGCCCCATGCTCCCAGCTCAGCCCACAGATGCTGCCTGCTCAGGAAGCCGCCCGACCCCCCGGGGCCAGGGCTGAGCTGCGAGTCTGCTGGGCTGGCAGGTGTGCGGGGCGCGCCTGGCAGAGCGGAGACTGGTGTCGCAGGTGCTCCACAAGTCCCCGGAGCCTGAGCCAGCACCCGGGCGAGCAGGACTCTGCAGGGGGCTCTTCCCGCCGCTGCCCTGCCCCATGCCACACCTGCCGAAGGGCGCTGGCACCTGGGCTACTGCCTGAGGCCCTTGGATGCCAGAGGTCAAGGCCACAGCCTCCTGCCAGGCCAGAAAGAGAGGCCACTGGGACTGCCACCACTCCTCTCTGCAGTGTGGCCACAGATAGCCTATCACCACTGCACTGTCCCCATTTGGGAACAAGGACCTGAAGTCTTCATAAGGTGGAATGAGCTTTGAGAAAGCTCATCTGACTGCCCTCGCGACGCTCAGTCCACAGCTCCTGGCCCTGTCCCTGTTCCTTCAGCTTCTGTCTGAGCCAGCTCCCCTCCAGCCGCCAAGTCCCCGCGCAGTTCCTCCCAGGACCCAGGACAGGCTCTACCCGGCAGCAAGTCCCCAAGGGCAGTGAGGAGAGGCAGGGCCTTCCCTGGCGGCCAGGTCCTCCTAGCTGCGTGTGTGAGGGAGGGACGCTCTCCCTGAGGTCCGCTGCCTGAGGCCACTCTGTCCCCCAAGCCCTCTGACCAGAGCACGACTCCTCCGGCCCAGAGCCCTGGGGACCAGGCAGAGCCCAGCAGGCCATGACCCTGGCGTGCACTCGGGCCAGGCCACTGTCCCATGGTCCCAGCAGGCAAGCCGCAGGCAGGTAGGTCCCTGCTGTGGGGCCACCACTCACCCTCGTAGAAGCGGATCTTGTCCCGGAGGATCACCATGCCCTGAGTCAGCAGCTGGTTCTGGAAGCAAGCAGAGGGTCGTCACTGTCGCGGTGTGCCCTGGGGTGACCAGGCCCACGAGACCTCACAGGCCACCAACAAGCAGCTGGGCCTCAGGGGCAGCGACTGCCCAGGGCCCACCACCCACTATGCAGAGCCTGCACCTCAGGCTGTCACAAGGCAGGAGGTGGCGGCAGGGACGCCCTCCAACACGCGGGCTGACCTGGAGCCTCCTGGGCTGGGCTGGGCTGGGCAGGCCCCTGCGCACCCCTTCCTGACGCCTGGCTCCTGGCCACACACGGGGGACCCAGGCACAAGGCAGGTGGCTCGGCCAAGAGCGAGGTCTCTATGCACCTTCCCAGAGCCGAGGCGGGGACGGCCCAGCCCACCCGTGATGCTGCTTGCGTCCCTACGAGGAGCAGTGTCCCCAGAAGGAGATGGAGCACGGCTCATGGGGACAGCGAGGACTTCAAAACCAGGGGCTGGGCTGGGCCACTGCTCCTGAGGCCGGGAGATGGCTCTACCTCGTGGTGACGTCAGCAGGACTCTGCCGACACGCCAGCACCCCGGATCTGTGCTTGTCTCCGTGAACAGCGAGGGATAGCCCTGGGACAAACCCCGTGAGGCTGCCACGTGATAACTTTAAAAAGCCCTAAGACCCCGTGAGCTGGACCACTGCCTGTCCCCGTCCTGGGCTGGTGCCTTGCCGGGCCTGTGTGGGGGCCTGGAGGGGCCCTGGGCACCCACACCACCTGGCTGAGCTCAGAGCACCGTCCCATGCCCTTGGCCCTCCTGGCTGCGTGATCTCGGGTCAGTACAGCCACCTCTCGAGCCTCTGGCTCCTGAGGGCTCAGGCCTGTGGCTGCACAGGTGGCCCAAATACCACATCTGGGGTCCTGCACTGGTCGCTGGGTGGGGGTGGACAATCACCAGCACCAAGTCCTCTTGGTGTCAGGGACGTCACTAAGACTCACCTGCGTCTTTCTTAAGCACCACAACACCCCACACTGGCTAGATGGGGACACCAAGCCACGCGAGGCAAGTCCTCGCACTCCCCTCGCAGGCTGCGGTGCAGCTGGAGCCACACCCAGCAACAGCAGGTGACCCCGTCCTCCCTGGCCAGCAAGTGCCACCCACCTGCAGGTACTCCGTGAAGAAGGGCCCGAGCTCCGTCTTCAGCAGCTGCCTGTGGGCGGGAGGGCAGACGAGGGTGAGCAGGAGACCACACGGGGGACCAGAGAGGGGGGCCGGGGGCCGAGGCCATCCGGGCAGCAGGAGACCAACCTGTAGCTCACAGCGTGGGGGTGGGCGCGTGGGCCGCCAGCTCGGCAGGCCTGGGCCTGCTGCGTGTTCCAGGCTCCCGGGACCCCTGTGCGTCAAGCACGCCGCCTGAGCAGCCTCACAGAGGGGCGCTGTAGGGTCCCCAGGACAGCGAGGACCCATCTCCCTCGCTGCCTCAAGCAGACATGCAGCAGGGCTGGGCCCCCACCACCCGGCTCAGGGCCCTCCGCAGTGCCCAGGCCCCGGAGCTGACAGCCTGCATCTCCCGAGTGTCCTCTCCTTTACTCCAGAGCAGCTCGCTCAGTCTTCAGGGACCCACGGCAGGTGCTGACCAGGGTCCCCTTTTTGCAGGAGAGGCAGAAGCTCAGAGAGGTCAAGAGTCTGGTCCAAGGCCACACTGCACACGGCAGCATTAGGATCTGACACTTGTCTTTCACTTGATGCTGACAACCTCTCCCATCGAGCGCCTCCAAGGGCCTGAATGACATCACTGCGCCCACCACAGGCTGAGAACACGGGCACCAGCTCATCCTCACCAACAGTCTTTTATGTTCTGAGCCAAACTGATCAGAAACTGCAATTTAAAAAGCTGCTTTAGAGAAACTTTTAGACCAATCCTGAGCTGGGCACAGTGGCACCCGCCAGGAATCCCAGCGACGCAGGAGGCCGAGGCAAGAGGACCGCAAGTTCCAGGCAGCCACGGGCGATTAACAGAACCCTGTCTCAAAGTAAACAGGGCGGGGGCTCAGTGGAAGAGCAGCCCGGGCTCCATCTCCAGCACCAAAAATAAACAAATAAACAAAATAAGCCGGTTCTGAATCCCTGGCCCCATTCTGCACGGTGCTGACATGTGAGTTCCACTAACCAGGGCTTAGCTGCCGCCAGTCCCAACAGCTCAGTCCAAGTTTCCGTTCCCTTGGCATTAGCTGAGCAACTACATAAAGCACAGCGGCTCCGCCAGTTCCCAGGCACCGCTCACATGCAGATGACGGATGCACCTCATGATCAGTAACCAGCAATGTCACTTCTTTCAGAGTCACTGATTGGTCCCCGAGCCTCCAGCATCCAGCTCGAGCCCAGACAGTGAAGGGTGCAGCTGGGCTGTCCACTCGGCTGCCTGTGGTGAACCCAGGTGGTGTTTACAAAACGGGCAAGAGAAAGAGGGGTCAGCCAAGAAGGTGCAGCAGGCACGAGGTTCCCGCCTCATGGGGGGTTGGGGGGGGTGAAGTTCCCCAGACTCACTGCCAGTTGAGGGCGCGGTGGAAGCACACCTCACCCACCACCCGCATCCTGGCCCACCCAGGCGTGCTGGGAACTCCCCTCAGCCACAGCCGAGCAAAACCTGCACAAAGCCCGCTTCAAACCAAGCGAGGAGCAGCTCGCGCTGCGCATGTGCTGACCCCACGTTCACCGTGAAGGGCAGGGTCGCCTGTGGCTTTCGCACCGCGGTCAGGTCAAAACCCGGGCGCTGAGTCTCCGGCAGTAGGGATGGTCTGTCAGTGGAGGGGACGGTGCTGGGTGGGGACGGCCGCTCAAACTACACTGAGAACATTTTTCATTTAAATTATTTTAAAAACTTTGAGACAGGGTCTTGCTGAGTTGCCCAGACGGCCTCAAACCTCAATCCTCCTGTCTCAGCCTCCAGAGGCAAGTCACCACACCCAGCTTGGTAAGTCCCGTGGTCCTGTTTTTATAACCAAGAAATAAAATGCTCAGCGTTCCTAATGCTATATTACCTTGTCCTAAACAAAGATCCACTTTTACTTTGGGGGCTGGGGATTGAACCCAGGGGTGCTCTGCCACCGAGCTGTATCTCCAGCCCTTTTTATTTTTTAAGGCCAGGCCTAAATTGCTGAGGCTGTCCTTGAACTTGGGATCCTCCTGCCTCGGCCTTCCTAGTTGCTGGGATTTTTCCTGTTGCTCGATACGTCTAGAGCGAACAGTACGAGCTCCTAATATCTGACGAAAGTATTTAAGACCACAGAAGAGTCGTCGGCCTCGACATGGCTTACCAAGGCCACTCTGCAGTGTCTACACACGGACACCTCTAGGGTCTGCCCTGCTCAGCAGAAAGAGGAACCGCTGGGTTTTTCAAAAGCAACACCTGGAAGAAAAAGCCCCAGAGGCTTGCTTCTGCAGGAGGCCACTCTTCCTGCTGTGGCCCGGGCCCTTAGGCGGGTGACAAAGCCAACTGTCCCTGCCTCTGATCAGCTGTGGCACTTGGGGTTGGGTGGGGCAGGCGGCCATGAACTTATCCTTCCCTGTAAAGAAGGTGGTCCTCGGGCCCTGAAAGGCCCTGGGGCAGCTCCCCATCCCGGGCAGCTGTGAGCTGGAGCCCGGCTCCCTCCACCAGGAGACTCCCTCCACCTGAGACCTCAGCGGAGCCCAGAGAGCTCCGTGCCCAGGCCGGAACCAGCACACCAGCCACTGAGATGAAGTGGCTTCCACATCCTGGCCACTGGGTTGTCACAGGCTTGAGGTTCAGACAGCACCAGCATGGGTTGTCGGGGGGACAGTGCTGTTCCCACAGCTGAGCTGGGCCAGTCACGGGCCTCGGCTCACAGCCCGACAGGTGGAAGGGCACCCCGACTCAGGGACAGGAAGCCATGGGTCAGCAGGTGGCGGCCCTGGGCCCGGCCTCACCCTGGCCAAGCTTCTCTTAGCAGGCTCAAGGCCAGCGTCCCCCTGCACAACTGTGAAATCAGTGGTGGTAGAACTGAGGGGCCCAAGTCCACATGGCAGCAACAGTGCCCGATGACCCTTCCCGGCCAGCTCTTGCCCAGCAATCCTCCTCCCTCTCCCTGACCCTCAAGAGAACCAGCTGGCTCTCTAAGGACCAAGCTGTGACCCCATCCCCACGTCCAGGCCGTCTGTCTCAAGGTCACCACACCTGAGGGCCACGCTGGGTGGCAGGAAAGGGGCACCACCCTGTGGAAGCCCGCCTGTGGGAGATGGGCACGGGGCGGGCTGCAGCGAACCTCAGGCCCCAGAGGAGGGGCTGCCCTCTGGGCAGAGCCAGGAGCTCACAGAGGGCAGCGCCAGGCCACAGCACCTTGGGCTGGTGCCCGGCTGGAGCCAGGAGGAAGGAGGGCCTCTCGGAGAACAAGGCGGCCGAGTGCCTGCCACACACTGCTCGCAGCCCACGGCAGACAGCAGCAGCCTCCAGGACGCAGAGGGGGGCTGCCTGGGACAGAGGCCCGGGGGCATTCTGCAGGGACAAGATAGGCTCGAGGACGACGTGCAGCACTGAGCAGGAGGGCCATCGAGCACCGGGAAGGGGGCCAGTGGGCGTGACCCACTGTGGTAGGACAGGCCGGGCGCCCACGGGGCATGACTACAGCCAGCAAGAGCTGTCCTCAGACCTCCTCCAGCTGTCCACCTCTGCACCTCTAAGGAAGGTGGCCAAGGCGGGGACGGGGAGACACGGCCAGGCAACAGGACTTCCTCAAGACCAAAAGGTCCTTTGGCTTCAAAAGACCCCATAGGACAGTGGAAGGACAGGCAGGCGGAGAGAGCCGTGCAGCAGGGTCTAGGCCACGTGCAGAGACTCCAAGTCACAGCGGGAGGGTGTGACCAGGCTCTCCCACAACAGCACCCAAGAAGGGCTCGGTGTGGTCAGCGTCAGGGGACCACCCAAGGCCACCACTCCACTGCACACCGCAGGCATCCCTGGACTTGGCAGAGTGGGCTGACTCACCAACTGTCAAGTGCACCCTTTAAAGTCGCTCTAGCGTCCACGCGCATGCCACCACGTCCTCCCAGAGCACATCCATCACCAGAAGAGCCCCGCCCCGCGGGGCTCCTGGGCTGCACGGGCGGGGCAGCCTCCCTCGGCCCAGCGCTTTGAAGGCTCATGCCAGCTAGAGCGTGTCAGGCTTCATGTCCATTCACCGGGAGCTGGACACAGCTGTCCCTGCCCCTGGCTGTCATGATGCTGCTGCCCACGTCTGTGCACAGGATCTGGTGGGACCTGTGGCCTCGTCTCTCCCAGTCTGTGTCCAGGACTGGAGCTGCGGGGTCCCGTGGGAACTGCTGGGTTCCCACGTCCACCACCGGCCTCCCGCTGGGTGGTCTCCCAGCCCAGGTGTGTGGGCACTCGCCACATGGGCAGGATGACGGGGCCACCTGAGGTGCACCTGGAACGTCGACTTTCAGAAGCGGCACCGGCACACCCGCGTGCACACACATGGGGGCAGCAGGGGTGAGCAAGGTGCCTGCCCGGCCCTGCCCTGCCCAAGCTGGGCCCCGCGAGGGATGCCCCTCAGGGAGCAGCTCCCCTCCACAGCCCCAGCCAGACACACAGGACCAAAGCTAATCATCCACTTGGATTCCGCCCCTAACCAGACCCACTTGATCCAAGGTGGGCACGTGGTCAGGGGGAGCTGGTCCAGGCGGGCAGTTCTGAAGGACCCCAGGCCCCAAGTCCCAGCTCACTAGCTCTGCGACTGTGAGCAAGCCACTCAATGGCCCCATGCCTCAGTCTCCCCATCTTCCAAATGAGACAGTAAGGCCCAGGGCTGCAGTGCCAAGTGGGCGAGAGGACAGACGGGCACTCTGGGTGCAGGGTGGTGCCCGGCGAAACTCCCGCGAAAGGCCTGTCACCGTTACTGAAGGGCTCCTGACACTCCATCTCCACCTGGCTAAGACCAACGTTCCCCAGACTGCAGTGCCCACAGCAGCTCAACATCCCCGTCAGGCCTCTCCTGTGTCGGGGCAGGCAGTGGCCAGGTGACCGCCATGGCCCGGGGCCGTGGGGAGGTGGCCGGGGCGGGGCTCTGCCAGCACTCTGCTTGGCATTCCGAGGTCCCCCTGCCCGTTGCTTCAGCACCAGGAGGCTCTCGAGGCCTGTTACACACCCGTTCCCCGAGCAGATGCAGGTAAGAAAAGCGGGGAGCAGAACCCCACAAGGGCCAGGGAGACCGGAGTTTCTGTTCTCCACGTGATGCCATCTTCCCTCCCTGGGCTCAGCCGACCCTTGTCACAGGTACCTGCTCACCGGTCCTTACCCTTCCCTCTCACCTCGGGTGACTAGGGGAAGCTTCCCTGACTCTTTTTCCATATATGCTTTTCACATGGGGACAGGGTAGCATGGGTCAGGGCTGTGTGACCCTGGGCAAGTAGCTCGACCCCTCTGAGCTCTGGCTTCCTCTGCCAAAGGCTTCCACCTGTAGCTGCCTGCTTCACAGTGGTGCCCTGAGGGTGCTCCCACCCTCGTTCCCTGCTCGTCACAGGAAATGAGAGGAGTGCTGGGCTGTATTGCCTTTCCCCTGGTCATTAGGCAGGTGGGTCCTTCCGCTCTGACAGAATAAAGGCCCTCCGTGATGTGACGCTCCACACTGGCAGGGAAGGGCGTCATCTCATGCCACTGTCCACGTTCCACCCGCTTCCCCGGAAGGATGTCCCGGGAGGGGTGGAGGCGCGGGCCCCCGGCCCAGAGGCTGGCTGAGGTCACGGGGGTCCAGGTCCTGGCCGTGGCCGCTGCCCACTCAGGCCTCGCCGTCTCACCAATGCGCAGTGCAGCAGGAGCTCGCTGTCCCCACCCACCAGGCCCCAGGAGGTGGTGGACACTCACCGGACACCTTCGTTGAGGCTGAAGAGCTCCTGGTCGGGCAGCCCCCTGCGCTGGAAGACGGCGATCACCCCGTTGTGGATGCTGTGGCCGGGGAGAGAGGAGGGTCATCACCCAGAGGCCCCTGTCCCCCCCTTTCCTGCTCAGCAGCTCGAGAGCAGGGAGAGGGCAGGGACGGGCAGGGCTGGCTGGTCCCTCAGGGCCCTGTGCACACCCAGATTTCAGCCCTGGCCTCCGTGGAGCGAAGGCCTGTGTCAGGGGCCTCCTGGTCACCTCTGCAGGCCGCTTGGGCACCCTGCACCCGCCACGGCCAAGCCTCGGCCAGCTCCACCTCCTCCCCAGCCTCCCCGCTGGGCTGGAAATGGGTGGGGAACACGCTGCTGGCCTCTCCTGCCCCCACTGTCCACATCCCACTGACCAGCCTGCTCAGGGTCTGTTGCCTTGGGTCCGTCTCCACCTCCACCCACCCCCTACCCCTCGTGACCCTGGCTCCCCAGCCCACCAGGGCCAGCTTCCAGGTGGCCCCAGCCAGTGCGGTCAGCAGAGCCCTGAGGGCTTCAGCCCCAGCTTGTTAAAGCAGGGTCCATGGGTGCCCCCTCTGAAGTCGGAGGGGACTCTGGTGACCACTCGGCTCTTGCTGAGGTGGTGGCTTGGGCTCTGCCCACTGGTCGGATGCAGACCCTCAGTGGAGCCCGTGGGCCCCAGCCTCTGGCGCCCATGCTCGCTGCACCTGGCCAAGGGCTCTACATAGAGCCGGCCGCCTCGCCTGCCCGCACCAGCCGGTGTGCGCCAGGTTCCCCGGGATTCCGCCTTCCCTCCAGACCTGACCCTCAGGAAGGAGGCCCTGCTCCTGACCGTGCCTCTCTGGCTCAGAGGAGCCGGGAACGTGCTCAGCCGAGTCGTGCTCGACTCCCCTGCCGAGTCCAGTCCCTCGGGAAGCCTGCCTGCATCCTCCTCCGGCCACCCTGTCTTGGCCAGCTGCTCCCTGGCCAAGGCCCCGTGTGACATTCCTGCGCCCCAGGCCCAGGCCCCCCGGGCTCATGCCCCACAAAGCACAGGGCCCCCAGGCTGGGCCATGTCTCTGGGTCTAGTTGTCCACTAGAGACTTCCTCCAGGAAGCTCTCCTGCCCTGCCCAACACCACTCACAGGCCAGTGTCCCACCAGCACCCCGCTAGTCCTGCCACCAGAGTCCCCAGTGGGGAGCAGTCCAGGGCTGGGGGCCCACATCTTTCTAGGGCTTTCTAGCGGGGGCTGGCTGTCACTGAAGCTCAGTACCAGAGCAGCTGCCACACTGACACTCCTCGGCCTGGAGGGACAGCTGGCCACACCTGCCACCCACAGCAGGAAGGGGGTGGCGCGCTCCTGGTGTCCTTTCATTAACCCTTTCCTGGGACTGGCTGCCCACTCTGCAGATGAGGAAACCGAGGCCAGAGAGGCTGAGTCCCACGCCAGACGACGCAGACCTAGCAACCTGGTGACCCGTGTCACACGCTCCACCTAGCCAGGGTCCCTGGATGGAGCCAGGTCTGGGTAGGGTTTCCGTCCCCAGACCTCACGTCCCGGCATGCCAAGGGGCTCCACAACTGGTGCCAGGCCAGAGGCCAAGGCCCGCCCTGCTAGGAGTTACCGCTGGCCTCTCGGCAACTGCTGGCCAAGACCAGCTGGACACGTGCCCCTGGCCTTGTTGCCGACCACCTAGGCTGACGCCCCCTTTGTGTGTCTGCCCCCCAGCACCTGCCCTGTGTGTGGGAGGGATCACCAGGGCCCGCGGGCTGCAGCAAGGGTGTGAGGCCCCCCAGGGCGGGGCCAGGTCCCGTGTGCAGACATGGACTGAATCCCAGGGAAGGTCTGGCGGGTCCCAGAGGGCAGCTGCCACCCTGGAATCCCCAGGGCAGGAAGCTCTCCGCCTGCCGAGGGAGGGGAGGAGCTCAGGGCTGTGGCAGGTGGCAGCATTGCTGGCCGTCCCTGGGCCCTGAATGGCAGCTCAGGGAGGGCTCCGGCCCGAGGTTGTCCTTGGGGCCTGGGGCACGGCCCCTCTGCTGTGCATGGCGGTCCCCTTGCTGGGACTCAAGCCAGGCCAAGGCCAGGCCAGGGGAGAAGGGGCCTGAAGACACCAGTGTGGGAGGACCCGGGGCCAGCTGGGCGCAGGTGGCCTGTGCTGCCCCACTGTCTTCAGGGACCCACCCCGATGGCCTGTCCCTCCTCCTCCCTAAGACACCTCTGGAGGAACCCGGCCTGCTCTGGTCCCCAGCCCAGAGGTAACTGGACAAGGTCCTCCCTCCTGCCTAAGGGCCCGCCCCTGCTGCTCCCTGTCCCTGGAGGGTCACCTCCCTGCCCTCAGGGCCAGGGCCCTCCTCTCTGGCCCTGTGTGGGCAGCTAGCCGGGCAGTGGCCTTCCTGGGGAAGAAGGTGGCTGCCTGGCTCTCAGCACCCCCACCTGAGGGGGACCCAGGAGGGGTGAGTGTCCAAAGCCCTTGAACCCCTGCCACAGGCCTCCAGGGCTGCGGGCCATGCCCCCGAGGCTCTGCTGTCCCTGTCCCCTCACCCCGACCCCACAGCGGACCCCGCACCTCCTGCAGCCCCCTGCACGGCCAGGTCAGGCCTGGGTCTGAATCTCGGCTGTGTGCCTGGCCAGGCCACCTAAGTCCTGTGCCTGGCATCCCCTCTACATGGTGGGCGGGGTGTGCAGTGCCTGCCCACGGGGCGTGGTCCTAGGCGTATGCCACAGGGAGGAGAGCGTGTCCACACCTGCCTGGGCCATGGATGGGCGGTCTTCTGCCTCCTCCTACTAACCACCAGTGGGCGGCGGGGACCGCTAGGCTCCAGGTCATAGAAGAAAACAGGCCAACGGGCTTGTCCCAGTGCCACCATTGATACCCAGCAAAGCCAGAACTGAGATGGGACGGTCCCCACCCCGCAGGCTGTGCCTCCCCAGGCCTCACCTGGACCCTTGGGGTGTGCAGGTTAGACCCCCCCCCCTCCAGCTCCACATTCTCCCCACAGTCCCAGTTGGGTAAACAAAACAACCTTCTGTGCCACTCGGAGGGAGAGGAAGGGTGGGGAGTGCCGGAGGTCCTCATGTGACTCGTCATCCCCCCAAAATAGAAGTGAAACCCCAGCTGTCCAGCCAGGGCCTCCTAGACCAGAGCTGGGCAGGGCCAGCCCAGGCATCTGCAGATGTTCTGGTGGAAACCCAAGGACCCCAGGGACTCCTGGTGGGCCAGAGGGGGAGCCCCTCACCCAGCAGGGAGAAGGTCCCTCCTGGCCCCATGTCCCCCCCCAGGGCAGCTTCCCATATGCGAGGAGGGTGGCCCAGTCCCAGGGCTGGGGCCCCCACGTCTTGACTGCATGCGGTGGGCACAGGTGAGAAACCAGGATTGAGTGTCACCCCCTACGGCTGGATGGAGGGCCCGTGGGCGCGGGCGAGGCTCCTGCTGAAGAGGGAGGTGGGGTCCCAGGGGGCCCATGCTGGGGATCCTGGCTGTCCCCCAGGAGGCAGGGTCCCATCTCCCCAGGCCCCAGAGGGCTTGGAGAGAAGACGGAGTGTCTGGTAGGGGCCCCTCCTCACTGTACCCCCCAGAGACCAACCTGGCCCCCAGCTGGCGGGCCCCTCCCCCCAGCAGCAGTCTGGCCTGGCTCCTCCTAGGACCCACAAGTCACCAGGGTTTTCTGGTGCTGGGGGCAGAGCACAGGGCCGTCCACGTGCTCGGTGAGTACCCTACCACCCAGCAGCACCCCGCCCCGCCAGCCAGGAACACGCGGCACATGAGAGGGCAGGAGTGGGCCCAGCCTGCGAGGGTCCAGGACCCTTCCCAGGAGGCTCACGGGTCCAGGTGGCAGGCACCTGAGGGCTCCGGCCCACCTGCCACGGACAGACTAGGGCAGAGGTGTGCCCATGTGCTCCCCGTGACTGTCTGCCCACCCTGGGCCACCTCTGCCTCTGGTCCCTCCCCAGTCCCCCACCCTCGGAGGCTGGGTTCTGACTGGCTGTGGCTGGGGAGGGAGAGAAGCTGGGTATGTGGGTGTCCCATGGGTGCTGTAACAAAGGGCCACAAGTGCCGGGCACAATGACACATACCTGTGATCCCAGGGACTTGGGAGGCTGAGGCAAGAGCAAGACCCTCAGCAACTTGGTGGGACCTCGTCTCAAAATAAAAAATAAAAAGGGCTGGGGGTGTGGCTCAGTGGTGAGCACCTGGGGGTGTGGCTAGTGGCAAGCACCCGGGGGTGTGGCTCAGTGGTGAGCATCCTTGGGGGTGTGGCTCAGTGGTGAGCACCTGGGGGTGTGGCTCAGAGGTGAGCACCCTGGGGGTGTGGCTCAGTGGTGAGCACCTGGGGGTGTGGCTCAGTGGTAAGCACCCTGGGAATGTGGCTCAGTGGTGAGCATCCTTGGGGGTATGGCTCAGAGGTGAGCATCCTTGGGGGTGTGGCTCAGTGGTAAGCACCCTGGGGGTGTGGCTCAGTGGTGAGCACCCGGGGGTGTGGCTCAGAGGTGAGCACCCTGGGAATGTGGCTCAGTAGTGGAGCACCCTTGGGGGTGTGGCTCAGTAGTAAGCACCCTTGGGCTTGATCCTTGGTGCCAATAGACAGTAGGTGGGCTGAGTGCCACAAATTTTCTAAAATGCTCCAGATCTGTCCTCGTGGTTCAGAGGCGGCCGACTCGCCTCAGCCTGGCTGGCTCAGCCTCAGGTGGGGTGGGAACCTCAGGCTGGGGCTTCAAGAGGACCCTCCTTGCCTTTTCTACTTCCAGAGCCCCCTGTTCCTTGGCTCCTGGCTGTTTCCTCGTCCTCAAGGCCTCTCTGCTTCTGTCACCCCTTCTCTGACTCTGACCCTTTGGTTACGCAGCGCCTCCCCTGCTAGTCCAGGGCCACCTCCCATCTCAAGACCCTTGACTGAGTGACAGCTGCGAAGTCCCTTCTGCCCCGAGCAACCCCACGTCCACAGTGCTGAGAACCAGGCGTGGACACCTTCAGGGGGCCCAGGGCAGCTCTGCCAGCCTCCAGCCCCAGGTCCAGCCTGACTCTGCCAGCCTCAGCCAGCCTGGAAGCCTTGGCCCACGTGCCTGCCTCGTAGGACCCTCCTGGGCTGGCGCACGCCCTCATCCCAGAGGCCAGGGAGGCTGAGGTCGGAGCCTCAGCAGCTGAGCACGCAGCTCAACCTCTACAGCCAGAGAAAGAAAAGAAGGACACGGCCTCCCTCCAGGGCTGCTGGGGGAGGCGTGGGTCGGACCTGGCTGGACACCAGCCCCAGCCTGACCACTGTGTGGACACAGGCGGCCCCTGCACCTCTGTGAGCCTTGTCTGTTCATCTGCAGAATGGGGACATCGAGCTCCACCTTGAGCGCTGTGGGGACAGGGGATGTCACCCATGCCCATGTCCCCAGCACAGGCTGGGGTATGGCTGCTGGATGTGAAATGGGGTATTTGTGATGCTGGAGGATGGGGCCAGTCAGTGCCTGTCCAGGACCAGGGGACAAGACAAGGTCCTGGAGACGCCTGCCTGTGCCCCCCACCCCAGAGCCAGCTGCTAGCTATGGAATACGGCTCTTCCCGCCAACACCCACCTCACCTGGCCCCAGCTGGGAACCTGCGTGTCCCTGGAGGATGGCTCTGTCAGACTGGGAACCTGTCCCAGTCCCTTTCCCACTGGGCTTGCTTCCCTATATAGGAGCTGTGAACAGCTGGCCACCCTAGGAGGTGCCCTGGTGGGGTCGTGAGAAGCAAAGCCCTGCCTGCTCTACCCTGGGCCTGCCCGGGGCACATCCCTGCCCAGGCCTCCGCTTAGAGCAGGGTGGACACCTGCGCTCCAAGGCCCCAGCCTCTGGGCAGGTCCGGGCTGGCGAGGAGGCGCTCCATGGTGGGTGTGCCTGCAGGTGGGCTTGGGGAGGTCTTCTGTGTGGTCAGCCCCACAGGGGGTTCCCAGACAGAGGTGGGGACACTGTCTAGGCCCTGCCTGAGAAGGCCTGAATACCTGGTGTGTCCCCCTAGAACCTTGGGACCTCTGTGGATCTCAGGCATCTTCCGGGAGTGTCTCTGGTGCCCCTGGAGGCAGGGGAGAAGCAGGGGCTGGGAGTGCGTCCCTGCCAGGAGACTCAGGCCTGGGTAAGCAGAGGGCACACCTGTGGGTGTGCCTGCAGGCCTGGCCAGAGGGTCACAGGGCTGCCCTGGCACCTCACCAGGCCAACCTCAGGCCCCAGCTCCAGAGGCCTGCACGCCCTTCCCCTCAGGATATACCCAGTGGTCACCCCCAGCACCTCCTGCTCCACTAGGAAGGATCTGAAAACACAGGTGGCCCTTCAGTTCAAGGGCATGACCTTCACAGGACTAGGGGCCCCAAGTGAGCAACAGGCACGTGCAGTGAGCAGGGAGTGGGGCTGCCAGGGTGACGCAGGGTCAGGGCCCTTCAGGGAGATGAGGGACGCCAGGTGGGAGCAGCAGGGACACCTTCAGAACCCTTGCAGACTCCTGTCCTCACCTGGCACCCACACCCCAGAAGTGCCCCAAGGGTGCGCGGCTCAGCCCAGGCCTGGCACAGGCCGGGAAGGGGCCATATCTGCCCATTGAAGCAGCGCAGCAGCCGCAGGAGGCGGCTTCGGTGGGTTCTAGCTCAGCAGCTGGCCTGGACCCCCTCAGTGCCCACTCGCAGGCCCCAGGGGCACGGGCCGCAATGCGGGATCAGGCCCCCGGCGCCATCACCTTCCAGAGCCGGCCTCTCCCTGCTTATGTCCTGACTGCTCCTCAGGCTCCCGCAGGCGGCTCTCTGGTAAGCCTGGGCCAGGCCAGCAGAGGCCAGCAGGGAACGAGGGGTGAGGGAAGGACTGGCGAGGGTGAGGGCATGGGCTCCATCTTCGTGCCAGAGGAGAGGGAGGTGCGGGAGCTCAGGGGTGGCGCCTGTGGTGGCTGCAGCGGGTGGGCCATGCACCCCCCCCACAGGACCCAGGACCTCAGCCGTGACCGGGAGGTGAGTCCTGGCAGGGTCCTGGCAGATGTGGTGGGTGAGGAGCCTGAGAGGAAGCCAGCCCGGGTCTGCGGTCTGGAGGAGGAGGCCCTGAGGAGAGGCTGGAGGGCTGCGCAGGAGCCTGGAGCCTGCAGAGGCAAAGGACATCGCCCTGGAGCGGCCAGGGGGCACAGCCAGCACACCTCGGTGGACTTCTGCCTCTGCAACTACGACAGAGTTCCTTTGGTTGTTTAAAGCCACAGGCTTGTGGTCATTTATTCCAGCAGCCCCAGGAAAATGATGGCAGTCACAAGACAAGAGGGGGTGCATCTTTGGAAATGAGGAGTCCAAGCTGTCCTGACCCTGCACAAGGGAGCCTGCCAGGAGACAGGGCAGCAGATGACGCTCAGGGACCAGGAGGGGACCCCTGGACCTCACTGTGTCCACTTTAGATGGGGAAGGCACTCTGACCCTGAGCCCAGCGCACACCTGCCCATAGAGGGGAGCAGGGCTTGGGCCCTGCATGTCCCGAGTGGTGCAGGCTGAGAGCCAGGCGAGGGGCAGGGAGAAGCAGGCTGCTCACGGGGCCTGGCACACAGCAGAAGCACAGGTCGCAGTAGGGCCTGCTGCACACGCAGGACAGGTGGGAGCTGACGGGGCCCCAGGCTGGGAGACATGGGCCGGCAGGAGCCACAGGACAGGGCCACCCAGTGACACACCAGTGGCAGGACTACTCAGGTGACCTCCCTGGGGTCCCAGAACTCACCTGAGACTCAGAGCCCCCAGGGTCACACAGGGTTAGGGAGGGGGTTCCTAAGTCTCCTGAGCAGGGACCCAGCCAGGGCTCCCACTTGGAAACCCCAGGAGGAGACTCAGCCTGGGTGGGAGGGGGCTCACAAAGCTGCTGTCTGTTGTGGAAGGTTCAGGAAGTGACCGACTCCCAAGGAGAACCCTGGATGCTGCCTCGAGGGGGTCTGGGGATAAGTTCTTTTATTATCTTTTTTGGCACTGGGGACTGGACCTGGAGGCACTCTAGCACTGAGCTACATTCCCAGTCCTTGTATTTTTTGAGACAAGATCTTGCTAAGTCACCCAGGCTTGAACCTGTGACCCTCCTGCCTCAGGGACTACAGGCGTGCACCACTGGGGCTGGGCTTGGGTTCCCAGTCAGGAGAACCTTCCACAGCCAAGCACCATGCTGGGGGCATCAGTGCATTTCCATGTTCAGTTCTGACAATAGCTCTGGCAGAGGCCACCATTATTCACCCATCTTATAGATAAAGAAATCAGAGGAGCAGAGATGTTAGATGACTTGCTCAAGTCCACACAGCAGGGTTGCGAATTAAAAGTCTGTCTGGCTCCTTCCCCTAAACCCAGGCAAGAACAAGAACTCTCCACCCTCAGTACTGCAGAGGAGGACAGGAACCTTGAGGCCCCAGGAGTCACAGGGCCGGTGCGTCTCCCCAGCAGGACTCCTCCTCCTCCTCTGCTCAAACTGTGCACCGGGAGGGCTGTGCATTCCCACCAGAGAGGAAGCAGGGCAGCCATGGCCCAGGCCTCAAGCAGCTTGCGACTTAGCAGACAGGCACACAAGTGACCAGGTCCTGCCTAGTGCTCAGACAGGGTCCCAGCTGGCAGTTCCGTGCCCACCAAGGTGCCCACGAAGGGTGGTATTAACAGACTAGACCTGTGTCCAAGTGGCAGCCAGGCTCCGGTGGCTGAACCCACAGTTTGGGTGGAGGAGCATGGCAAATGGCATCCGGAGCACTGCCAGGTGCAGAGGTGGAGCCGGCATCCACAGAACCCCAACGGCCTGCCTCGCCCCCTCAGCCCTTGGTCTCCTTTTGGTGGAAATTCCTATTCCTGAAAGTTGGACGCCAACAGATGGGCTTCGCAAACCCAGCACGCCCCGCACATACAGTGGCGGGAGGGGCTTCCCAGGCCCGCGCTGGGCTGGGGTCGGGCCTGGTGGGGGGGGGGGGAGGGTCTGGCCAGGACTGCCAGGCAGCTGCCGCACCCCTGCTGACAGCTGGGAGCGCAGGGTCCACTGGGGAGTCACCGCCCACCCTCGCCGGACTTTACACGCAGACACAGGAAGTGCGGCGGCTCCCCACCCGGAGCCCCGAGGCTCCCGGGCTCCCCTGCACACACGGAGAACACTTCCTGCCGTCACGCCCACCGGGCGCAGACGTGGAAGCGCCCCGGGCAGGGGGCGGCGCGCGGATTCCGCGCCGGCCCGGGCGCTCCGACCAACCCCCGGACCTCGCGGGCCTCGGTCTCCGCTCCGGGAACACGTTGCACTAAACTTCCCTCCGGCCCGCGCAACTCCGGCGGGCGGAGCAAGCTCTCCGCGAACGGCGGAGCGCGGTGCCCGGGCGCGCTCCTCGCTCGCGGCGGCCCTCGCCCGCGGCCAGGCTCCGAGGCCCCCTCCCAGGCGCCGGGACCCGGGAGGGCGCGGCCTTACCTGTTCCAGGTGGCGTTGGCGCAGGCCCGGCGCTGCTGTGTGCCCCGCTCGTCCGCGGCGGCGGCCGCCGTCTCTCTCTTGCCCAGGTCACTGAGGCTGGGCGAACTCATGAACTTCAACCTGCGGAGAGTCCTCATGGTGACCCCGGTGGCCCGCTCAGCGGCCACGCGCGCCCTGCGCCACGCCACGCCGCGGGCCCGGCGCTGCGCCCTCTACAAGGAAACTTGGGCGGGAGCAGGAAGCCGAACGGCCCGGCGGGGTCCCGCCCCGGCCCCGCGCCTCCGCCCCGGGCCGCCTGCCGGCCGCCCCGCCGGGTTAATCATTGCTCCCAGCGGCTGCAGCGCGCACGGTCAGGGGAGCCTCCGGCACTGGCCCCGCGCAAACGCAGGCCGGGGGCGGAGCCCGGGCCGAGGGGCGGGGCCTCCGAGAGGGGCGGACAGGGGCGTGGACCAGCTGGGCGCGGGCTCGACGCCCCGCCCCTGGCGGCCGGTGAGTCCTTCGGTGTGTGGTCGCGGGGGTCACACTCAGCCCCCTCCCCTCTTCTGAGGGCCACACGTGCCCACAGGAAGCCAGCGCACGCAGGACGCACAACCCCACCAACCCACAGCGACTGCGGCCTGCGACCTCACAATCAAGCCTCCAGCCTTCACGCCTTCCTCCTCTCGCGTGCTCGAGGAGGCTGTGCCCAGAGACCCCGAGACCCCTTTTCTTGACACAGGTTCCTCTGCAGTTCTCCCACAATTTTGGATCGAGGCTTTCAGCCCCAGAGGAGCCTCCGGCCAGGAGCCCCCAACCAGGAGCCCCCAACCAGGAGCCCCCAACGTGGCCGGTAGGACACAGACCCGCAGCTTCTGGCTGGCTGCCCGGAGGAGTTGCTGGACTGGGGTTTGAAGGAAGGGGGATCGTCATCCCATAGCAGGGGCCTGCCACGCTGTGGGGACCTGTCCCCCCAGGATGGTGGAAACAAGTGGGGCGTCCTAATCTGTGCCTGGGGCAGTGATTCCTGCCAGGGAAGCCGGTGTGCTGCTCAGAGCACTCTTGGAAGCTCCATCTCACAACCTCGTTCCCCAGCAGGAGACTGAGGCTCACAGTGGAACATGCCCAATGCTGAGCAGTCACCACGAGGCCAGGCAGGTCACCGCCTGGCGGGGCCTTCCCTGCCCCAGCTCCCGGGGTTCTCATAGGAGCTGACAGGCACCACCCCTTGCTGGAGGAGCCTGACCCAGAATGGAAGGCAACCTTGGAAGCAGTTGCTGCTCATTTCAACCCAGCCAGCATTCCTGGGCACCTACATCCCCCTGTCCTAGGGAGGCAGAGCCATGAGGGACCACTCCTGGTTCCCACAAACCTCCCACAGGGCCTGTCACCCTGAGACGGAGGCCCTTGTGAGCAACTTGAGCTGCCAGGATCCCCCTGCCCACAGTCGAGGACCCTGGGCTTGGGCACCCAGCACGCCTGGGCCAGGACCAGGGAGGACGGGACTGAGGTCAACAGAGGAGGCACTTCTGGTCTCTGTGCTGGAATGAAAGTGAGACGGTGACCAGCTATCCAGGGCTGGAAGGGCAAGGCACGGGAGGTGGGCTCCTCCTCGGCAGGTGTGTGCATGCTCAGAAGCTGTCCCTGGGGAACCTCTGCTGGAGAAGAGGGGGGAGCCTGCCTGGTCACCTTCTAGCCACACCCTCAGGTGTTCAGGTCGCCATATGGGTGCTCTCCATCCCTGGCCAGGTGTCTCAGCGGAAGGAGGCTCCCACCGCACTGTGTTTACAACGGTGTATAAAAGTGCCACAGTAATTACTGATCCGTATTTGGAAAGAGCACAACTGAGAATTTAGCCACCTGAAGACCAGCAGCTTCCCTGGGTTCCTAACAGGGCCATATCCACCACGCTGGCCTCGCAAGTGCCCAGGACCTGCTGTGCAGACTTAGACAAGCTGCTTCTCTTGAGCCTGTTTCCATGTGGAGGGGGTGGACACAGTTGTGACTCTTCCCTGAACCTGATGGCACTAGGCAAAGCCCTCTTGCCCTGTCCGCTGAGCCCTCCTCCCTTCCCCAGCTCCTGGCATCTCTAGCCTGGACCACAAACCCCTCCTGACCACTCTCTGCCCCACAGGCTGCTCTCTCAGTGGTGGCCCGAGCAGCCCTCAGTACCTCCGGTGCTGCCTGTGTCACGGTGCTGCATAAGAAGCCAGCCTTCAACCCTTTAGGGACCTTCAGGACCTGCCTGCTCCCCAGGCCCCAGAGCGTCCTCTCTGACTGACTTCGTCCTCAGTGCGGCTCAGGTTGGCCCTCCTGTCATTCGATGACTTTTTCTGACCTTGGCCATGAGCCAGGAGGGCAGGTACTATGACTGGTTCATCCCTGCATCCCTGGTCCATGCCCACCCGCAGTCAACGCTCAACAGATACTTGGTTGAGTGGCTGGATACACACTTATCTCACAGGAGGAACAGGTTAAATTAGACAGTACTGTGAAAAGGCTCAACAGAAGCCCCCACACCCAGATATGAGACTGTCACATCTCTGCCATTGGTGCTAATGTAGCAGAGCCGCCAAACCTTTGGATGTGCTGGGGCAGGGGAGAGCGCTCAGGGGAGGGCTGCTTTGTGTGCTCAGCACTTTGGGATGGGAGGAGCTGGGCTGGGGGAGATGGGAATGCTCTGGATGAGAATCCCAGGGAGAAGGAGGAGGGAAAGGGGAGAAGAGGGGAGGGAGAAAAGGGGAGGGAGGAGGGGGAGGGGAGGAGCAAGGAGCAGGAGGAGGAGAGAAGGGAGGGGGAGGGAGGAGCAGGAAGAGAGAGCTCTGGGGCTCTGGAGGGAGGGGCTTCGGTGCAGGAGGATCAAGCAGTAGGTAATCCAGAAGGTGGGAAAGGCTGAGCAATCCTGAAGGCATCTCTCATGAAGGGAGTGTCACACGCCTGTCATCCCAGCCACAAAGGAAGCTGAGGCAGGAGGGTTCAAAGTTCAAGGCCAGCCCAGGCGGCTGAGTGAGATCCTATCTCAAAACAACATTGTACAGGGGCTGGGATGTGGCTCATTTGCCCACTTGTCCAGCACAGGGAAGGCCCTGGGTTTCATCCCCAGTACTACATTCTCTGGCTGGTGGCAGAGGGTTGCTGTAACTCCACACACAGCCGGGTGTCAGGATGCAGAGTAGTTACAGAGGTGACGTGCCACCCTGCATTTGGCATGGCCACAGGCTTAGCTCCCTGGGCCTGGAACTCTGTGGTGGAGGCCATCACTAACCCCAGGGCAGGGGGCCACTGTGGAACTGGACTCCAGTTCAGGCCCGATTGTGCCCCGTGGGGCCTGCAGAGTGGCTGCCCACGGTTGCATTGCCTGCAATGGCTCCCTGAGACCATCAGAGGACACCTCTTGGGCCATCCCTGTGAAGGCTTAGGCCATGCTTCCCCTGCCCACTGGGTCCTCCATGCCCTTGTGGGGCCCTTTAAGCCTGAGAGAGGGGTTGCGGGGTTGAGCAATGGTATTGCAGGACCTGGGCAGGACCCATCTAAGAGTTTCTGAGACTTCAGGGAAGGAAAATGCCTCTCTGAAGGGCATGGGAGGCAGGGGACACATTCACATACACTCAAAGCCACCAGAGCCACTCTGATCCAGAGCCACATCCTCTCCTCCCCCTGGACCCAAACTTTATCCCACCCCCGCCTGCCCAGTAGGGTGTAGGACCCCAGTGGCCAAGGGGAACCCAAAGAGCCCAGGACATGTCCTGACAGGAGAGCAAGCCACAGGTGGGTGGTGGAGTAGGAAACCACACAGCCCTGTCACCAAGTCAGGTGACCTCTAGGGCCTCAGACAGAGGCCCTGGACCCTGATGAAACTAGGTGAGGAACTGGCTCAGGGTGGCCTTAACCGTCGGCACAGGCCTGGGACCTGGGACAGTCTCCCTGCTGCAGGACTTGGCATCAGAAAGTCCCCATGGCTGGTCCAGAATGACCCTTCCCGGCCCTGCTGGGACTGAACTCAGTCTTGGGGTGGCACCCAGAGTGCCAGTGACTGCTGAGGGGCACCTGAAGACTCTGGCAGTACCTGGGGGTCTGTGACCCTGAGCCTGGCCCAGCCCTTCACTTTACAGATGGATAGTCTGGCATCCGGGGACAGGAAGGGACCACAGGCAGTCAGTGACAGTTCTCAAATGCAGACCCCTGGACAAGTTCACAATCTCCATGTCACCAGCCCCTTCTCCATGTGATCAGAGGGGGCAGATGCCGATCCTGAGGGGCCAGTTCAGGAGGGAGTCCTGAACAGGGCAGGGTGGCACTCAGACCAGGCCTCCCGAATGCTCCCAGGGCTGCTGCTCCAGGTGACAGGCCCCAGGTACTGACAGAAGCTGGGGGTCACAGTCAGTAAGTGGCCGAGCTGAGCTGGGCCCTGTACTGAGTGGGAAGAGGCAGCCCCAGCTCTGTCATTGTCACCCACCTCAATGGGCACCCTGCCCTCCTCCTAGGTGCTGCCTGCTCCCAAGAGGCACTTCTGCCCCCTGGTGGCAAAGACTGGTGCTTCCCCAAACCTGTTTCCCAAGTCCCTCCTGCACCTGCTGCTGCAGTCTCTGCCCTTGGGGATGGAGGCAGGGCACAGGGAGCCATGAAGAGGGCCTGGCTCTGCCCCTGGGCCTGTGCCAGCTCCCTGGGATGAATGGGGACGGTGACAGCACTGCCCTGTGAGGGCAATTCCCAAACATCGAGGGGGCTCCCAGGCTTGGGGACTGCTGCTGCTATGGCTGAACACTGGGAAGGGACCCTGAGCCAGGCTGCTGATGCTGGGTGAGCCCACAGCACCACAGGGACCCCAGCATCAGTGACCCTAGGCTGGTGTCCCCGTGTGTCCTGCTCTGGGCACCTACTCTCAGCCTGTGTCTCTAGGCCAGTGTGTAGGGCAGATGGGCATCCATCAGGCCCAGCAGAAGTGACAAATGGGGGTCTCATGGGCTCTGTGCCAAGCCTAGGGTGGGGGGTGGCCCCAAGCCAGCACCAGCTTTCTCACACACACTGGAGGTGAGCCGCTTGCTTGAGCTGTGGGCTGGCAGCAGAAAGTGGCAGAGCTGCCAACTGCTTTTGGTGACAATGGCATCTCACTAGCACCTGCATGCTAGCAAGTGCTCCACCCC